GGCTTGGACCCCTGGCTGTCGATCGTCGCCTCTGGCCTAATCACATTTGGGCTCTTCTACACTCCTATGCGCGTGCTTGCTCGTCTGTCGCTCATCAGTACTCTGTTCATGGGCTTACTTCTTGCCGTGGTTGCATAGTCAGGCGAAAGCATGCCGATGCGCGCAGACCAGACCGAGCAGCTGGTCTGGGTCAATTGGGCAGGCTCGGGACAGGCGCTTTGAGTGTTATTGTGGTGCTTCTCTGGGGCCCCGTGCGTTCCTTCAAGATACTCCTGCCGCCCTGGACAAGTGACGCCTCCCAGCAGCTCGAATTATATGTTGCATCCTGGCGATGCCCTATCACGGTTCATGCGGAGCTCTACGGTACATGTTCTCTATAGGAGCCAACTTAATCGTGTTTCTGGGTTTTGTGAATCTCGGGTCGTTTGACGGTTCGGGCCTCGAGGGCGGCGAGGTCTTGTCCCCGATTGTGGTGGCGCGGCCTGCTGGTGCAGCTGCACGCTACGGTGCAAGTGCTCGTGACACCGGTGCTGGTGGCTCGCGGACGGAAGCGGGGTCGTCTCGAAGGTGTTATACATCGCGCTCGCATCCGCAGTGGCCATCGGTCTCAGTGAGTACGTCGACGCTGCCATGAGCATCGCTGGACTTTCAGCCGCGGTGACCAGTAGTGTTCTATGTCCCACAGTCGTGCACAGCAAGCTCTGCAAGCCTCCACTAGTTGTTCGCCTACTTTTGGGCCTCATATGCATAATGGCCGCGCCTGCTGCGGCGATTGACAGCGTGCAGACGGTCGCTGGCCTTGGCATAAAGTAGGCATTCCAGCCGGCATATCATAGCAAACAAGCAAGCAAACGTCCAGCATTTGGGCCGACGCGCAGGCAATCAAGGGTGCATTGTGGCAACCTCGCGAGGACGCAGGACATGGCCAGATCTGCGCAGACATGTTGCGACGCATTGAAACTTGAAGGGGCCCGCTGCAGTCTCGGTCGTCCGCGCCTGCGCTTGCGAGCCCAATTAATCGGCGACCCATCGCCATTGCAGACAATTCCCCCCGCCAAAGACGCAGGTCCACGTGCAGCAACTTTTCGCGCCATTGTCAAGTTTGTGCAATTTTCTTTTTATCAACCTCGCCATTGTAGGTTCCACGGTCACCGCCCACAGAGAGAGTCGTGCGAAGCAGCGTCATAGAAGGCAGCAGTTGGCAAATTGGAATGTGCTGCCCACGAACTGGCGCCCCGAGGTGCCGCGACGCTGGACACGGTGGACCAATTGATTTGAATTTTTCGCAGAGTGACAATGCAGATGCAATCGCACACTTACGCGGGCCGCAAGATTTTCCTCTTGAGCTCGGGCTTTTGAAGCGCCCTGCCGTTCAAGTGAACGGATGTATGTTGCGCTCGTTTCGGATCGGGGCGTGCCAAGTCAACTCGTTATAACATTTAGGAGCTGGTCGCGCATGGCCTCCCTCCATCCTACCTGCCGCGCCCTCCTTGTCAATGCCTCTCCTTGTTCAGCAGCGGGGAATCCTCAGCCGGTCACTCGTTATGCCACTCGCGCACGGGCGCGCCAGGCTGCTGGACCGACTTGCAGATGATTTCCGCCTGCGGACATCATCGCTTCTGCTGAGCAACGCCGTTCTGCTTTCGGACCGACGAAACTGGGCCGAAGGGATTTGCAGGTTACTAGGCGTACCTATGGAGCGTAACTGACGTCTGCATTTTACTTGTTGCATTCTCAGCGCGGGTTGTGCACAGATCCCGGTCAGTAAGCGCGGCAAAAGAACAGACGGCCGAAGAGGCCCCAAAGAGGGCCGTAGGACAGCCCCAAAAGACCGCAAGACGGCCCAGTAATCTCACCAAAAGGGCCCAAGGCGCACCCACGAGCGCCCCAGGGGAGTCCAACAACTAGCCGGGCCCCAAGAGGCCCCAGAGGCCCCCAGACGCTCCCGAGAAGCCTCAAGAGGCCCCCAAGAGGCCCCAACAGGCCCTAAGCATGGCTCCAAGAGGCCCCCGAGAAGCTTACCAAGAGACCTCAAGATTGCACGAGAGGCTTCACATTTCATCGGGGCCCCCATCATGAGATCCAGACGCCATCATTCCTCCACCCCAAGACGGCCTCGGACATCCCCCGCCCTCTTTCCAGAGTTCCCCAGACTGCCCCAGACCGCCTCTCAGTGGCCCACGAAGGCCGGAGATGGCCCCAAGAGGGCACCAAAACGACCCCAAGAGATCCCGAAGGTGACCAAGACAGAATGACGGTCACGGGCGGCGTCAAGACGGCGCAAAAGGACCCAGGACGGGACGACCCCGAAAACGCACGCCCCCAGGAGGCCGAAGTCTGTGTAAAACATGTTGATGTCAAGTGAGTTGGTGAGATCGTTTATTCGGTTTTTGCGGCCTCCGAGACGCAGAACCGAGGTCCAACATCGATTCGTGCACGTGCACACAGAGGGCCCCGCCGGGCGACTTCCAGAAAGCACCTCCAGCAGCTTCCACCGAGATTCCGCCAGATTCGCCACCGAGATTGCCAGCTTCCAGCAGCTTCCGCCGAGATTGCCAGCGCGCTTGGCGAGGCGAGTTGTGTAGATTATCGCGGTCCGCTGCCATCCCCTGGCTCCTCCCGCAAAAAAAGCGAGATTCCGCCAGATTCGCCTTCCTGCGTAGCGCAGAGGGGAAACGTCGGAGGCTGCCGGGCTCGCAACAGGCAGTGTGGCCGTATCACGGCCACCGGCGGCGGGCCCATATTTGCGGTGCCCAGCGCCTCCTCTTTGCGAGAACGGAGTACCCATGCATGTCCATCAAGGGGGGTGGGCGTTCCAGTTGCAGGCGCGAGGGGCGGTTGCTCACGCCTGCCCTCCTCCTCCTCCTCCTCCTCCTCCTTTGGGGCGAGGCGGCCCCCATCAGTCACCGCGCGCGCGCGCCGCGCACGCGCGCGCCGCGCACGGGCCGGCGCCAGGCGCCCGCTACGTACGTCCGCGGCTTGAGGGGCGCCTGCGGGCGGCAAAAGTCGCGCGGTGCAAGTTCGCACGTACATGGGCAAGACAGGAGGCCAGATGCGCTCTTCGCGCTCTGCTTCCAGGCATGGCGGCAAGAAGCGCAACGAGTATTACGTCTGTGGGTTTTGCCGTCGTTCTTGGGTGTGCAAGTCTCGTGCTGGCCAGCCCGGTTGGGAAGGGTGCCAGACCTGTGGAGCCCTTTGGCCATCGCGTGCTGGGCAGCAAGCCGTTCGTAACGGGGCAGCCGCAGGTCGCGCGGTTTCCTTCAACGTGGACGACTCCCCGCTGGCGCAGCAGCTTATGCCCAAGTACACGGCGGCGCGCGAGGCCAAGGACGCCGCCGCCCTCCAGGCGCTGGAGCTGGTCTGTCCCGAGCTGGCCAAGACCGCAGAGCCCACGCCCGCGCCTGCGATCCTCCTGGAACAGGCTGCGCGGCAGCTGCGGCAGCTCCACGGCCAGCAGAAACAACTCAAGGGGCAGGTCGCGGCCTACGCCAAGACGGGCAAGGACCTCCTCCGCAGGCCCAGCGAGAACATCAAAGCCTGCAGTGAGGCGCAAGAGGAGGTGGATCGCTACTCAGCGCAGACGGGTACTCCAGCGGCCAGCTCAGGGAACGGCGGCCCGGCAGACGACACCGAGTTTCCCTCCCTCTCGGAAGAGGACCTCCAGCTCCTCGCGCCCGAGCAGCAGCAGTACTACACGGACGCGGCCGCGGCGGCGCAGCAGGCCCAGGCCACCTTCCAGTCCGCCACCGACGCGGGCAAGCAGGCGAGGGGGGCGGCCGCCACGCTCCGCAACCTCCGCGAGCAGGTCGCCTCGACCAAGCGGCGCAAGGCTGACGCGGCCTGCGGAGTGGCCCCAGGCGGCGGCGGCGCGGCCGCCGCTGCCGCCTCGGCCCCGCCGCCCGAGGACGCTGGCGGCCAGGACTTCAGCGACCCCGAGGCGGCCGATGCGTACATCAAGATCACGGCCTCGCGCAGGACCGCCGTGGCGGGGGCCGCGGCCGCCAAGGCGCCGGCGGCCGTGCCAGTGGCGCCACCCGCCCCGCCGACGGCAGCGGCGCCAGCAGCGGCAGCAGGAGCGGCGATCCCAGGCAAGGGCGACGGCAAGGGCGGCAAGGACCAGACGAAGGGGTAACACGGCTGTCGGAGGACGAGCCGCTCGGAGGAGCGAGGGCCGCCAGGATAACAGGTCGGCCTCAGCCAGGACCCCCTTCGGCAAGAGGGACTTTGCCTCTATCTTCTTCGGCAACGTCACCTCGTGCTCCCCCAAGGTCAAGAAGTTCATCGAGACGTCCGATCACGACCTGATCGGCCTCGCGGAGCACCACCTCGGCAAGGGCAAGTGCGTCCAGGAGGAGAAGCGCCCCGCAGTTTTGGCTGGCGTTCAGAGGGGACATGGACGCCAGCGACTCCCTCTACTCGTTCAGATTCGGGCACCCACGGCGGCACGTGTTGGCTGAGGAGAGCCACCTACGCCACTAGCGTCCACCTGCAGGGCGCCAGCCACCAGAGAGTGTTCCAGGACGCGCCCCAGGACGTCTCCGTGGTGCTCTGGCGCTTCCAGGGGGCCACGTTCGCCTTCATCGTGTGCTACTTGGACTGCTCCATCGGCCTCGTCGGGGCCAACTCCAGGAAGATGACCGCAATCGCTCGGATTGTGAAGTCCTTGGGAATTCCTTGATGCTTGGTGGGCGACTTCAACGCCACTCCAGAAGAACTGGCGCGCTCAGGCTGGCTTCGCACCCTGAAGGCGCGGATCCTGACTCCCGAGGGCGTGAACATCACGTGCGCGTCGGGCAAGGGTCGCATGCTGGACTACGTCGTCGTGCCCGACAGCTTCCGCCACTTCCTCGAGAGGGTGACGCCCGTCCAGAAGCTGCCGCGGGGCCCGCACATCGGCTTCGACATCCTGGTCACGGCGAGGCCTGCCGCAGTGATGCTACGCGCCCCTGTGCCACCCGTGCCTTTTCGAAGTACCTGCAGGGGAAGTTCACGTGCCCAAGGGGATCAAGCGCTGTCAGCGCGACAGGCAGCGGCGCGCAGAACTGCAACAGGCCAAGGGGGATTGTGACCAGTTGCAGGAGGGCGACCTGCTCAACGACGACGATGAGCACCTCCTCGAGGACACCTACACCCAGTGGCGGCTCCAACAGTGCAACGACTACGTCTGCTCGCCCTGGGCGGAGCACGCCACCGAGGCTCAGGAGCGCGTGGGCACTCACATCCCAGCGGGCGAAGATGTGCAGGCCAGCATCGCGTACCAGATGGACCCTTACATGGCGCAGGCGTTGGCGGTGCAGTACGGATACTGGGCCGAGGCGGCGGAGTCGTAGTTGGCCGAGCTCTGCGGCACCGTGCCTCGTGACGTAGCCCGACGTGGTCAACCTGTCAAGTACCAATGGCGCAAGGCACAGGAGCAGACGGCCGACTCGCAGTTCGGCCACGCCTGCGCGCAGGACATCGGTGGCAAGTGGGCCAGTTTCCACGCCAGGGTGCAGGAGCAGCTCATCGCGCTTGGGCGCCACCGCCACACCGAATACCAGCGCAAGGTGCAGGGCATCGTCTCCGACATCATCAGCGACATCAGGTACCTCCTCACCGCCCAGGGGCCCGTGCCCGACGACCAGCTGCAGGCAACCAAGGGGAAGTGGCGGGTGCACCTGGACGACGACAGGGTCCTCGGCCACGGCGAGCGCATCCGCTACTCCAGGAACTTCCCCGAGTGGCAGGCCTTTTGCGCTGAAGTTGCAGGCGAGAGCGGCTAGGCATGCCAGCCTGGCGCGGCAACAGACCCGCAGACGGACGAGGTGCAGGTCTTCGACGAGACCTGCGTCGACCCCGACACTGGCGAGGTCTGTGACACTGTGCAGGCCTCCACTGAGGCCAGGGCACGCCGCTGGCGTGACCGCCGGACCAGCAAGCCCGACCGCGTGCGCTCCTTGCGCGAGGCGCTGGGCGAGCTGCGGACCCTGGCTCGCGAGGCGCTGCCAGAGCGGCGCTACCACACGAGAGACGACATGGTGAACGCCGCCAGGACTTTTCCCAAGGCCACGGGCAAGGGCTCTGATCAGTGGACGCCAGGCCACCTCCTCGCGGTCTCCGACCAGGGGCAGGAGGCGTTCGCCACCCTGCTCAACATGGTGGAGCGCGCCTTGGCCTGGCCGCACCAGCTCCTCCACAGCTGGTACGCCCTCCTGCCGAAGGGCGCCAAGCAGGTGGTCGGCAACGAGAGGGGCATCGGCCTCCTCCCCATGCCCGTGCGCATCTGGGGCCGCATGACCAAGGCCACTCTGACTGAGTGGTGTGGCAAGCGAGCTGGACACTGGGACGCTGCGGTGCGTGGGAGTTCCGCGCTGCAGGCTGCCCTGCTCACCATGGTGCCCGACGAGACTAGAGCGCGCGTCGGCGTGGCCGAGCAGAGCAACTTCTTTGATGGACGTGGAGAAGTTCTACGACTTCATGGACTTGGCCTTGATGATCCACAAGGGCATCTCCCTCGAGATGCCGCCCGTCGAGCTGTACCTGCGCTGCCTCACGTACTTGGCGCCGCGAGCGGTCAAGTCGCACGGGGCCTTCAGCTCGACCATCGCCCCCAACTGCTCGATCCTCCCTGGCTGTGGGAAGGCCAACCCCTGGGCAAGAGCCTTCCTCTACCACCTGTTGGAGGCAGCCCATGCGAGAGCACCTGCGGCAAGGGCGCGGCAGTACGTGGACGACGTGCACAGCCGCATCGAGGGCACGGCCGACGAGGTCCTCGACCAGACCAAGGACGTCGCTGTCACCCTGGCGCAGGGCTGCCTCGACCTCGGCCTGCGCGTCTCGCCCAAGTCCATCCTGATGATGACGAGGCCCAAGGACGAGAAGGCGGTGTTGAATCACGTGTACCAGGAGATTGGCATCCGTTTGCAGAGGGCCTCCACGGCGAAGGACCTCGGCATCGACTGCACCATGGGAACCAGGCGCAGCAACAAGACGGCCAGGACGCGGGTGTCGGCAGCGAGGGCGAGGGTTACGCGAACAAGTTTATTCCGCCGGTTGGGGCGCGGCAACAAGAGGACCAAGGGCGTCATGCTGCACAGCGCCAACATCAGGGCGAAGTACCAGTTCGCCAACCCGATCATCGGAGTGCCCCCTTCGACGACAACGCGGCGACGGGCCCAGGCATCGGACCTCACAGGCCACACTGTGGGCGGGCGCTGCACCTCCACCACGCTCCTGCTGCGCTACCAGGACGACGAGCCCAAGAGGGCGGCTTTGGCGCAGCAGGTGAAGGAGTGGTTCCACTTCTGGGCGCGCCACCCGAAGCTGCGAGACCGTGTTCGACTTGGATGGCGAGCGGTGCTCAAGAGACTCCTGCATGTGCGACCTCGTGCTCGGTGGAAGTGTGTCACGGGGCCCATGGGCGCGATCACCCTGGCCCTGCGCGACATCGGCTGGATACCGCGGGCGCCCGACGCCTGGATCGACGACGAAGGCTCCGAGTGGCGGCGCCTCGGCAACGATGACGACGGCGCGCAGGACCTCGTGAAGGCGATCAAGAGCACCGTGACGCGCCAGCTGTGGCGCCAGGCTGGTGACCACCCCCTCGGAGCGGGCCTCGGCGACGGCGGCGACCTCCACATGCTGAGAGTCAACCTGAGCAGAATGCGCCGCCGGGAGCGCCACAAGGAGGCAGGCGCCCTGGAGGCGGCAGCGCTGGCTGGAATCTGGACGGGAGCGAGGGCACTAGCGGCAGGCTATAAGTGCTCCGACGACTGCGAGCGCTGTGGCGAGGGCAAGGACACCATCGAGCACAGGCTGTACTTCTGCTCGGCCACTTGCGAGATGGAGGATCCGTCAGCGTGCCAGAAGTGACCTGTCGGAAAATGGTCGCGTCGCTTTCTGGGCCAGGGTGGCCGTACCCCCCGAATGGGTAGCCGTGCCGCCGCCGCCCGCCTGGAACTCAGGAGAGGGGCTGGGCGTCTGGGCAGTCGGCACCTCCCCCCCGATCCTCACTCTTCCTCGAGCGACGTCCTCCCCTCCTCCTCTCCCGCCCTCACGAATGTAGGATCATTCAACGTAGGAGCAGGTGAATACCCCGTCCGTGCACGTCTGGCGTTCCTGAACGGGTCGGCCACTTCCAGCGATGCCCGTGTCTGTCGTGTGGGCTGGGGTGTTCACTTTGTGGGGGAGTGGGCGGAACTGGCAGAGGGCGACGGCGAGCTTTCTGGATTTTTCGGGACCGTCGACGGGGACCAGACGGTCCCCGTCGCTGAGCTGGCTGCCCTCTGGAGGGCACTGCAGCTTTCCACGGGGCCCCTGGACCTTTTCACCGAGTGCCAGCTGGTCTTCGACGGCTGGGTCCAAGGGAAAGCCCAGATCCCCAGGGGAAGCCACGCCAAATGGTGGGCCCGAATTCGGTCGGCCCTCGAGCGACGAGGGGGCCAGAATGTCCGCCTTTTCAAAATCTTCTCGCATTTGGACGTTGATTCCCACGTGCGTTCAGGCCAGGACCCGCGATGCTCCCGTGGAAACGAGCTCGCGGATGCGCTGGCCCAGCGAGGGGCGGAGTCTGCTGCCACCCCAATTCGGCCCCACGTCAAGGCCCTACAGGTGGCCGACGCACGAGCGACCCTCGCGCACCAGCGAATCGGCGCGGTCCGGGCCCCGATTTGTGCGGAGGTCGATCGCGGGGCTCGCTCGGATCGGCTCGGCGATGCGGATGGTTCGGCCGGTTCCGCTTCGGGCCTGGGGCGGACCGGGGAGCTCGAGGCCCGTTCGGGGCATGTCCTGTCCCGCCTGAGCTCTGGTAGGTGGGCCTGCAGTAAATGCCGACAAACACCAGGGCGCGTCTCCTTGGCCGACTGGCTCCAGAGTTGTGCGTGTCGCGGGGACGTCTGTAAGAGGGGCTTGAGCGAGCAAGGCCACCACGTCTATGTCCCCCCCACCTGTATCAGCGAGTTGAAGGTCGGTGCCCGCAGTGTGCACCCCACTCATTCCATAGCCATGCAGAATGGTCTGGCCTGGTGCTGGAGGTCTGCCAGGTACGCCCCCATCATTGCTGGGGGGGGGCGGCTCTGTAAGCTTGCCTACGAGTGCCCCCAGGAGCGCACCCCCTCGGGCCAAACGATGATCAATCGTCTCCGTCGTGGCCTCACCCCGAAAGCGGGGATGCAGTGGCCCATACCCCCAGAGGGGGGGTGGCGGATCAGCTCCCTTGCCTGTGGTCGGCAGCTCGGCCAAAGATTTCGGGAGGAGGACGGACGGGAGAGTCGGCAGCTCGCTCAAGGCCCCCCCCCGTCGACGATGATCATAACTTATGTTACAGATTATCCGTAATCTGCACGCGGGGGGGCGTAGCACTGCTCCGACCCCCTCTTGTTCGAGTTTTCCCGAGTTTTCCTCCTCCTCCTCCTCTTCCTCCTCCTCCTCTTCCTCCTCCTCCTCCTCCTCTCACTGGCTAGCACGGTGCCCACTAAACGCCACGCGTGGTGGAACTGCCGCGCCCCCAGCGGCAAATTGGCCGTCCCGCGATGGGGACCGGCGTTTCCTGTGCCGAGCAGTGTCTTCATCGCGAGGACAGGGTGTCCATGCGTGTCCATCGATAGGGATGCGCATCCGAGCTTCAGGCGCGAGGAGCTGATGCTGGTGCCTGTCCATCGACGAGGGTGGCCACCCGGGCTGACGCGGCTTATACTGAGCGCTGCCGCTGGGGGAGGCTGCCGGCTCCTCGGCGAGACTCGAGCCGAGACGCCGAGCCGATGCCCATCGGTGCACGTGCACAGAGAGGGCACCGTCGGGCGACTTCCACGGATCATCTCCGCCAACTTCACCGAGAGCCAGCCAGGTTAGCATCACGCGTGGCGCGAAGCAGCTGTCGGAGGCGGCCCGCGCCAGCAACTGCAGGTTTGGCCGTGTCGCGGCCACTGGGGCGAAGCCGAATGCTTGGTGCCTGGTGAGTCGGTCACCTTTGCGAGGACGGGATGCCCGAGCATGTCCATCAATAGGGATGGGCGCCATAGCTGGGGGCACCAGGGGCGGATTCCCATGCCCGCGCATCGGCAGGAAAGCATCCAGGCCAGCAAATGGTCCACTGAACGCGGTCAGTGGCGAACATGCCGTGCCCGCAACGTCTGTGTGGCCGTTTCACGGCCACTGATGCGGACCTGTTTTTTTGGTGCTGAGCAATATCCTCATTGCGAAGATTGGATGCCCATGCCTGTCTACAAGCAGGGATGGGCACCCTCGCTTCAGGCACGAGGTGCGGATGCCAGTGCCTGTCCATCGACAGGTGCGGCGGGCTGCCCACACCATTTCATCAACAGGGAGTGCCATCCTAGCATGAGGCACACGGAACGGATGCCAATATCTCATTGGCACCCAGTCCAGCACGGTACCGTTTTGACGCCGTCAGTGGCAAAAGTGCCGCGCCCGCAACGGCAATATGGGAAGTCCCGGCCATTGAAGCGGACCAAAGTTACTTGCGCCCAGCATGGCGGCAGGATGCCCACATGAGCAACACAGAAAAACACGAGTCGTCTGCGCCAACATTGGCTCGCAAGTTTCCCGCTTAAGTTCGCGCGTTAGCGCCCTCGTCTCCAATGTAGCGTGCCGCGCTGACAGCCCGCAGAAGCATTTCGTGTATGACCCGTTTTTGATCGTCGTTCAGCTCTGTCCGTGCACAGGGAGTGGCATCCTTCTCTCTGGCACGAGAGGCGGAGTGCCCGTGCCTGTCCATCAAAGGGGATTGGCATCCATGCCCCTGGTGTGAGGGCATCAGGTCCCAGGCCAGTGCCACCCGGCCATTCACAGAACAAGGGGCCAGTGACTCAGGGGCGCTTGTCGAGTTCGGAGAACTCTTACTTGCCGGCGCCACGTGCGTCCCCTGAGTTGTCCTCTCTTTACCTCGTAACGAGAGGCGCCGGCACGGGGGGAGGAGGAGGAGGAGGAGGAGGAGGAGGAGGAGGAGGAGGAGGAGGAGTAGGAGGAGGATCCGGCGGAGGAGGAGGATCAGGCGGAGGAGAAGGAGGATCAGGCGGAGGTGGCGGCGGCGGCGGAGGCGGAGCGGAAGTAGGAAGCGGCGGCAAGGGCAACGTCGGCGGCGTTGGCGGCCGTGCAGGGCGACGAGAAGGGCCTGCGGAGTCCCGCCATCCTGAACCTCGATGAGCCCGCTGCTCGGCTGCGGCGCCGCCGTCCTCGGCGTCATCCTCCCCCCCCATCCAGAGGGAGGGGGGGAGGATGACGCTGAGGACGGAGGCGGAGGGAAAGACGGGATGACGACGACGATGATGACGATCACGATGACGATGACGATGACGATGACGATGACGATGTTTATGATGATGATGATGATGATGATGATGATGATGATGATGCTGATGCTGATGCTGATGCTGATGCTGATGATGATGATGATGATGATGATGATGATGACGATGACGATGATGATGATTATGATGATGCTGATGATGATGCTGATTATGATGCTTATTATGATAAATGGTTATGATGATGATTAGTATGAATATTATTATGATGTTGTTATTGTTGATGGGGATAGGGGTGATGCTGGTGATGGAGATGATAACGGTGATGGTGATGGTGATGATGATTGTGATGATGATGATAGTGATGATGATGATGATGCTGATGATGATGATGATGATGATGATGATGATGATGATGACAATGCTGATAATGCTCCTCCTCCTCCTCTTCCTCCTCCTCCTCCTCCTCCTCCTCTTCCTCCTCCTTGTCCTCCTCCCTTCCTCCTCCTCCTATTCCTCCTGCTCCTCCCCCTCCTCCTCCTCCTCCCCCTCCTCCTTCTCCTCCTCCTCCCTCTCCTCCTCCTCCTCCTCCTCCTCCTCCTCCTCCTTCTCCTCCTCCTCCTCCTCCTCTCTCTCGCCTGTCCCCGTCCCCGTTCTCGTCCCCGTTTTGTTGCTCTGCTTTTGCGTGCTGCTTCCTCGGCCTCGTGCTGGACATTGGTGCACGGGCCCCAGCCGTGCGGTGACGTCTGCCCAGCCGTCTCGCGAGCTGTGAATGCCCGCTCGAGGGGAAGCGGACTTCTCCCCTGCCCAGTGTGCAGTGCGGTTCTTCCTCCGTCTCTCCTCCCTCCCCTCCTCCATGCGCCCTGCCTGCGCCCTGCCTGCCTTTCTCCTCCCCCTCCTCCTTTCCTCCTTCCCCTGCCTCCTCCCGCTCCCTCCTCCCACCTTCCTCCCTTCTCCTTATCCCTTACTCCCACCTTCCTCCTTCCTCCTGCATGCCTTTCTCTCCCCTCCTCCCTTACTCCCCCCTCCTGACTTCCTTCCTTCCTTCCTTCCTTCCTTCCTTCCTTCCGTCCTCCCTTCATCTCTTTCTTTCTCCGACCCCTTCCCCCTCTCCTTTGCCCCCCCCCCTCCCTCCTCGAGCACAGATGGGTGAGGACGAGGCGACCCGCCCCGACCCCGAGGTCCCTCACCGCGACGTCACGGTCCGCCGCGTACGAGCGGTATTCTGGGCGTTGGGTAACGGGTCGGGGGCGGCAAAGAGGGGGGTGGTGACTAGGGGGGGTGGATATCATGGCGGGGGCCATGCTATTTCCTCAGATTTCATGGCGCCTCTTCTCATTTCATGAAGACCTTGGCCCCCCCGCCGGGCCGCGCACATGCCGCCGGTCATGATTTTTACCTCCCCCCCTCCGCTCCCGAATGGGGTGGCGACAGATCGGGGAGGTTCGGCCACGCGCAGAGGGAGGCAGGGGGAGGGGGAAGGCTTCTCAGAAGTACCCCTGCTTCTTACAAGGCGCGGGCCTCGTCTGTAGACGCAAGACCGCGGCCTTCTCAGAAGCAGTGTGCCTCTAAGAGGCCTTCCCCCCTCCCCCTACCCCCCTCTGCGCGCCGCCAAGAGGTAAGGCGCCGTGGGAGGAACAGGAACAGCTGCCGCTACCCTGGCTTCGTTTTCGCTTGTGGGGCCTCCAAGAAGGCCTGGGAGGCCCTCGTCGCCACGGCTGGATTCGCTTCGAAATCCTGGTCACAACGCACCTTGGGCGAGGTCCGTGGAGTAGCGGTATCGGTACCTTCTAGTCCCCCCAAAAGAGTTCACCGTATGGGGCCCTAAGGGGCCCTCTGGGGCCCAACAGGGGCACGGACAGTGAACGTTTCTTCGCCCCCCCACTACGTTGCCCCGTTCCCATCAAGCAACGCCCAAGGTACCCGATGATGGACTCGGTCCCTTCGATGTACTCCATGATGGACTCCGCGCCCTCGATGGTGTGCCAGGGGGACTTCGGCACGTAGCAACTCATGAGAGCCGCGTATGCCCTCGTAGTTCCGTCTCTGGAGTGCCTTAGCGTGCGCAAGCGTCTGGCAGTCGATGAGGTGGCGTCGATTTAGTGTCGATTGCACGCCGGTCGTTGAAAGTAGGTATTTCTGGATTCCCAGATCCCAATCTACTTCAAGCGCCTTCCTACTTCAAGCATCGACATGCTTTTGCTGTGTTTTGTTAGTCTCTGGCAGGGCCTGGACCTAATCCACTTCATCCGCCTTCCTACTTCATGTTTTTACCTACTTCTTCCGACCGACGAGTAGCGTCAACTAGCGTCTTTTCGCATCGATTCGTTCGAACCAGCTAGATGGTATGAGAGGCTCCCATGAGTTGCCACCAAGGGGGGGCGTCCCTCTGAGAGCGCGTGGGCGGCAGGAGGGAGGAGGAGCAGGAGGACGTCCTGAGAGCGGGGCGTTGCAGCTTTTTCACACGAGGCGTTTCGCCATCACAGGTCGGTCTGTCTCGAACATTAGGGTTCTGGCCGTAATTCATCGTGATGCTGTTCTGTTTCGCAACGTCAGATCTCAGGGTCCTTCGATAGGGTAGGTAGTGCCCTTGATTGTCTTCAGGTGCCGGTCGACAGACTGAGGAGGTGACGGAGGTAAAGGGGTAGGGATGACACATGGGAGGCGAAGAGGGAGAGGGAGGGGAGGGGTGAAGTGGAAGGGGATCAGGAATCAGGATGGTGGAGAGTCGAGGATACGCAAACATGGACTACGCGCACTTGACACTCAGGAATCAAGCTCTCGCTGTGGATCCCCTCGCGATTTTTTTCCGAGCCATCGCTCGAGACTTCCTCGCGATTCTAGCCGGACGCACGCTTCAGCAACCCGCCTGCTCGACCTGACCGCCTGGACCCGCCTTCCCGACCAGCCTGTTCGGGTCTGCCCGCCTGATCTGCCCGTCTGGTTCTGCCTCGTGTCTTTTGCTCCTGGCCCCCCTCCTGCTACTCTCTCTCTCTCTCTCTCTCGTCCTCCATGCTCCTCCCTCGCCCGTGTCACTTCCTTCTATCCGTCCTCTCTTCCCCTGCCTCAGGGGCTGCACGAAATACACGCTTCAGGTAAAACAGATATATACCCCCAAGGGGGTACGATCGAAGACGAAAAGGGCGGGTATCGAGGGTTTGGGATATACCTGTTGGATAGCCCGCGAGCTTTAACTGATTGGTGTTGTTGGACGGTGGTGTTGCTGTGGTTGGTGTTGTTGTTGCTGGTGTTGTTGTTGATGTTGATGTTGCTGCTGTTGCTGTTGCGATTTGTGTTGTTGGCGCTGTTGGTGTAGTTGTTGTTGATGTAGATGTTGTCGGTGTTGTTGTTGATGTTGTTGTTAGTGTTTGTTGATGTTAGTATCGTTACTGTTGTTGACGTAGTTGCTGTTGCGGTTGGTGTTGTTGGTGGTGTTGTTGTAGTTGGTGTTGATGTAGCTGTTGTCGGTGTTGTTGTTGTTGTTGCTGGTGTTGTTATCGTGTGTTGCTGTTGTTGTCGTTATTGTTGTTGACGTAGTTGTTGTTGTGGGTGGTGTTGGTGGTGCTGGTGCTGGTGCTGATGTTGTTTTGTGGTGGTACTTAGTGCTGTAGTTTTTGTTTCGGCGACGGCAGCCCTCGCCTCTCGTTATCCTCCATCCTCAGTTTGTTCTCCTCCCTCCCTTGGGGGAGTGGTACGAAGAGGGGAAGGAGAAGGTGATTCACCAGAAGGGGAGGAGCGTGGGGACGGATGATCAGAAGAAAGATGCCGAGGAAGAAGAAGAGAGGGATGGAGAGGAGGAAGAGGGTGACGGAATGCCTCCATCCTCTTTCAGCCTCCATCTTCATTATCCTCTTCGGGTTTTTACCCTCCTCTTCCTCCTCGTCATCATCCTGGTTCTTTCAGTGTACATCCTCCATCCTCCTCCTCTGGTTGTTGACGTCCTTCCTCGCGCGAGGTGGATGCCTCTCTCTCGATGCCGATTGTCAACGCCCGGTCCGTGGTGGACCCCAGCACGGTCACCGGGAGCCTCACGGTCACCGACGAGGAGGCGAGAGCGTGCCTCGGTGGTTTTCCCCTTCTGGTCCGAGAGCGAGGCTCGCCATCCCTAATCGTCGTCCTCCTCCTCCTCCCTCATCCCTAATCGTCGTCCTCCTCCTCCTCCTCCTCCTATTCCTCCTCCTCCTCCTCCTCCTCCTCGCCCCCCCCCTTTTCCGGGAGGCGCCACCGCGCCGCCGCGCCCAGCCCGCGTGCTGCCATGCGGCGTGCACGGGCCGAGGGGCTTCGGGCCGTCGGGAGCCGTCCGTGCCTGCCCGCTGCTGGGTGGCCCCTGCGCCGAGCCATGGCCGTGGCTCAATCGGGGGCAACGATCCCAGACCCCCCCGCGCAATGAAAAGATCACGACGGGAGGTTTTTCGCCGTTTCGGACACGTGGGGGCCCTTACCGGGCCTCAGGGCCTTCAAAAGACGACTCAGGATGAGAAGCTGGTCCTTGGGAATGGGGCCAGATCTCCGGGGGCCGACGCAATGGCAAAACCGTGACGTCGGGGGTCTGGGATAGAGGGGGATAGGCATAGGGAGACGCATCGACCCCCAATCGCCCACTGATCGCTGGTAGGGGCCCGATGGCCCCAAGCTGCACAGGAAGGTGCGGATTCACCATCGGGGGCCTATCGCCGATCTATCGGAGACGTATCGCCGATTCCAGGTCGATCCATCCCCCCCCATGCCAGTCCCCCCCTGTTTGCTCCTCAATCAAGCAGTGGCGAGGCGTCCTGGCTTGGTGATCGTTTTCTTATCCGTAAGGCCTTCTGGCAGAGGTGCCGCCAGCCCCCTGTCTCGGATAATGGGAGATGCGAAAGCTAAATCATGAGGTCTGGGCGCCGCCGTGGAGCAGTGTCGGGACCTGTTTGTTTTTCGACCCTGACCCCGCCGATCTGCGTGAGGGGTGCCACCGAATTTCAGGAATGTAATAAATCCCATGTGTTTTTGCACCCTGACCCCGCCGATCTGCGTGAGGGGTGATACCGAATTTCAGAAATGTGGCAAATCCCCTGTGTTTTTGGACCCTGACCCCGCCGATGTGCCACCGAATTTCAGAAATGTTGCAAATCCGTTGTGTTTTTGGACCCTGACCCCGCCGATCTGCGTGAGGGGTGCCATTGAAGTTCAAAAATGTAGCGAATCCCTTGTGTTTTTGGACCCTGACCCTGCGGATCTGTGCGAGTGGTATAAATTTTTACCCCCCAGGAATTCTGAGAACCCTCCCAGGGCGTGGTAGTTCTGCTGGTTTGGGCCTCCCCCCCCCTCGCGCGTTCATCAACAAGAAGCAGCAAGCAGCAAGAAGCAGAACTGTAGCAGTGGAAGCTGGAAGCTGCAACTGGCACAGGGAGCAGCACACTCCCGGCCTGCAGCCTGGTGGCCCCGCACGGGGGCCGGCGGATTGCATGCTCTGCTGATCGGCGCGGGCTCTCGGACCCCCTCCCCCCTCCTCCCTCCTCCTCCTCTCCTCCTCCTCCTCCTCCCTCCTCCCCCTCCCTCCCTCCCTCCTCCTCCTCCTCCTCCCTCCTCCTCCTCCTCCTCCTCCTCCTCCTCCTCCTCCTCCTCCTCCTCCTCCTCTCCCCTCCTCATCCTCCTGCCTCCTCCTCTCCCCTCCTCTCTCCTTCCTCCTCCTCCTCCTCCTCCTCCTCCTCCTCCTCCTCCTCTCTCCTCCTCCTCCTCCTCCTCCTCCTCCTCCCTCCTCCTCCTCCTCCTCCTCCTCCTCCTCCTCCTCCTCCCCCCGTATGGAGCAGATCCAGATTCTGGGCATAGCGCGCCCCGGGAGAGGTCCGGGAAGTATCGGTATCGGTAGCTTCTTCTGGACTTTGCAGTGCGAGTCTTCGGTCGACACCTGGCGGCAGTGCTTCAGAGCCGGCCGCATCCGCTGGCCGCCGCCGCCGCCGGCCAGGTAGTTCGACGTCACAACCAGGACACGATTGGCGGGGGAATGGGCTTGAGAGTTGAGAACGCCCGAGGGAGAGGAGGATACCTGCCTCCAGACTCTTCATTCTCCGCACTGTTTGTGCTATTTTCCCTTGGTGCTTGGGAACTGGACCCCGTCCTGGGATGGAGTACGTCCTCTACAGTCCTGACTGCCGCACGAGCAATTGGACTGGCAGATTGAGTTCGCGATTCCATCACTATCGCTTTGGAAGTAGCATGGAATGTGCACACTCGCTGCTCCACCATGACGTCCCCCTGCCAAAACGAAGCGCGTGATACGTCTCGTCCCACCTTTCGCGGCAATATGCGGCCATGTTGCGCCCTACATTCGTGCCCCGCATCGAGTCCGAGTGGCAGACTTATGTAAAACTGAAGGGCCGAGGTCACTAGCAATACGATGCGAAACCGCTTTGTCTAGAGTCTAGACCAACGATAGGTGAGAGCGCAGGAGCGCAGGCTTGGTCTGTCATCCGATTCCCAGGAAACAACATGTCTTGACGCTTCGCGTATCCCCACCAGCCGGACGCTGGCCTCGGCCACGTCTGGGCCCATCCTTTGGAGTCGGCAACGTGCAGTGGCTCCCCCGTCGTCGCCCTGGTGACGGCGGCTTCTGCTCCCCCCTTGCACATGGGCGTGGTGACAGTACGGTCAGCCTTGTCGGCATTGGCAGATATTGACGTCGGTCAGGCACCTTTCTGGCGCTCGTGTGAGACGTCGGCTGCAGTCACAGGAGTGCTTTCGTGTTGCACTAGCCGCACACCGCCTTGGTACCAGGGCCCTCGTAGGCGCTTCCACGGCGGTCGACCTTTACCAGGCTTAGGCCCGCACTCCCCTGAGATGCGTGCAGGCTGGCCGACGTTCCAAGTGAGTGAGTGGTCTTGGCCCCCTCCGCCTGGCAGTCCGGCTCCACCAGCGGGTCCGACCTTTTTTGCTCCCCCCTTCCCTCGCTGGCGCACGTTCAGCGGCCGGTTAGTGGCTTCTTCGCTGGCAGATGTTCAGCGTTACTGTTGCTGCTGGCGCACGCTCAGCTGCTTCTTGGCGGGCACAGTGCTGCGCCGTTAATTATCTGCTTCCCGCGCGCTGTGTCCCAGCATCGTTCTTACCGCCCTCTGGACTTTCCTTGCGGGCCGCGAATCAAAAAATATCCCTACCAACCCATCCAGAAACGATGTTCACGCAAGTTGAAGAGATCAGGGAAGTTGGGGAGCAACGAGAGGGACAGCCGATCCGTGCAAAGGATGCGGCGGAAGAGGAGGCCAGATGGATAGATGGGGGGGTGGCGAAGAACCGAGCGAAGGAGGGATGAGGAGAATGATGACGCTGGGTGGATGGTTGAATGCCGCTCGGATGCCTCTTGGAAGCGTTTTGGAAGCCTCTTCGGGCGTCTTGGGGGTCTCTTGGCGGTCAATGGGGGCTCTTGGGCGTCTTGGGTGCTTCGGGGGGGCCTCTTGAGGCCGCTTGGGATCCTCTTGGGAGGCTCTTGCGGGCCTGTTGGAGGCCTCTCGGGGCCTCTTTGGGGTCTCTTGGAGCTTCATGGCGGCCTCTTGGAGCCTCTTGGAGGCCTCTTGGAACCATCCTGGGAGTCTCGTGGAGCCTCTTGGGGGTTTCTTGGGGCCTCGCGGCGGCCTCTTGGGGCCTCTTGGAGGCCTTTTGGACGCCTCTTGGGGTCTCCTGGGCGCCTCTTGGGGCCATCTTGGAAGAGATCGATCAAAGAAGAGGGTGGAGTTAATTAGCCCTGCCCCCCCAAGAGGCCGAAATGGGGCCAACATTCTGGTAAAACCGGTGATTTTGGCTTCCTCGCCGAGGCCGTTTTGGACGCTCTAACTACCAGCGGACCCCCCCGTCCAAGTCCAGGGGAGGGGGTTAGGGGGAGGGGTAAACCCCTCCCCGAAGGGGAAGAAAGAGGTTGGAAGAGGAAACTCCCGGAACCACCTACGCCCAGAGGGCTGGTGGGATTCAGAGTGAGCGTTCATCAAGGGTCCAGTTCTTCCACCAGAAGCGAAACTGCGCGTTTTGTCTGACACGTCTGTCCCCGCGCGACCCCAATTAGGGCACTTGCTTTCTACTGCATGGGCGCATTGCTTGCCGGTGTTTGGCATTATTTGGCATTGGTTGGCATACATTGGCACTGCTGTACATGTGATGGCATCGCTCGGCGTTTCTCTGCATTGAGTGGCATTGCCTTACCATGCCGGGGAACGAGGGAACGAGATTCGGCAATCCTAGGCACCTAAGCAGGGTGCGCAAGACCGGGGAATTTGAGGAGCCCGGGGTCATCGAGAGCAAAAGAACCCGCGACCCTACTAACACGATGACGACGGGGCCTCTGTGAGGTCCCCGTCTTCGCATTCGGGATAACCAGATGCCGATGATAATCAAGTTACCCCCTTAAGTCGTTAGAGTTTTTTAATCGTCGGCCAATAAGAGTTTGGTCGGGGGCGCGGGGGCGCGGAGGCCGAACTTCATTATCACGGGAAAAGTTCGCCATCGAAATTACTTCTTTCCTATGTTGAGATAACAACATCAAGCGAAGCGATCACGTTGTTTCAGGATGTCTCAAGCGAAACCAATGTCTTTCTGTCTCTTTGTATTTTTTTCTCTTTTTCTCTCTCTTTCTCTCTCTCTCTCTCTCTATCTCTCTCCATGCCCCCCCTTCTGAACTTGTTTATCCCTGGGGTTGATTATCCATGGAATATGAAGCACATGAGCTACCCTACACGAGCACTTAAAACAATAATTTTCATCAAGCGCTTGTAAATAAAATCTAATACAATTGAATTTGAGATGTTTCCTTTGCTTTCTCCTCCTCTGTTTTCTTTTCTGCTTGATGTTTCCTTTCTCTTTTTCATTTCTTATTGTTTCTTTTTATTTTTGTTTTTGTATATCGTTTTCTCCATTCCTCCGCCCGCCTGAACTTTATTATCGCCGCGGTTGGTTATCCAGGGACACCGAGGCGGATGAGCTATTCCGCGGATGTCTCAAGCGAAACAAGCATATATCCGAGGATGTCTCAAGCGAAACAAGCATATACTGAAGTATGTCTCAAGCGAAACGATACGTTTCTTAAGC